GTCGTTGGAGAAGGATGTCATGCTGGGTAAGGTGGAGGGTCAGAGAAAAAGAGGAAGACCCCTAATGAGATGGATTGGCCAGGTGGCATCATTGATGTCGTCAAGTGTGGCAGCGGTAGTTGAGGTTGGCCCAGGATCAGACATTGTTTCATTCTCCTGTGCATTGGGTCGCTATGAGTCGGTTCCAACTCGATGGCACCTGACAACAACAACAAGGAATGTTTCCACCATCTCTATCCACAGATGTAGTCAACTTTATTTCTGTGTATTCCATATGGTGAGGTTCATGTATATAGTTGTCTTTTATGTTATTTAATGAGGTATTTGCAATGAAGAAGTCATAGGTCTTGCAAACTTCTATTATGCAATCTCTGGCATCATTTCTATGACCAAGGCCATATTTTCCAACTTCCTCTTTGTGTCCAACCTTTCATTCCAATCACCATTAATGACCAATGCATCTTGATTGAGCATGTTTGATCAATTTCAGAATGAAGAAGTTGGTAGAATTCTTCAATTTCATCATCACTGGCTTTAGTGGTTGGTGCATAAATTTGAATAACTGATATTAACTGGTCTTCCTTATCGGCATATGGATATTATCTTATCATAGACAGCATTATGCTTCAAGATAGATCTTGAAACGTTCTTTTAATGATGACTATGATGCCATTCCTCTTCAATTTGACATTCTTGACATAGTAAACCATGTTATTCAAAATGGTCAATACCGTCCATTTCAGCTCACTGATGCCTAGGTTTTCAATATATATGCATTCCATTTCATTTTTGACAATTTCTAATTTTCCTAGATTCATATTTCCTACATTTCATGTTCCAATTATTAATGGAGGTTTGCAGCTTTTCCTCCTCATTTTGAGTTTGTGCACCATCAGCAAATGAAGGTCTCAAAAGCTTTACTCCATTAGCATCATCATGGTCAACTCTATTTTGAGGAGGCAGCTCTATCCCAGTCTGATTTTGACTTCCATCTAACTTGAGGGGCTCATCTTCTGACACCATATTGGACCATATTCTGGTGCTGTTCATCATGTCTCAATATTCTGGTGCTATGTGACAGTGTTCTGCTGTTATTCATAAGGTTTTCAGTGGCTAACCATTCAGAAGTAACCTGCCTCTCCTTCTTCCAAATCTGTCTTGGTCTTGAAGCTCAGCTGAAACCTGTCCACCATGGGTCACTCTGCTGGCATTCCAAATACTAGCAGTACAGCTTCTAGCATCACAGCAACATGCAAGCCACGACAGTGTGACAAACTGACAAATGAGTGGTGGAATAAACATTTGAAAATCGGTCTCTACAACTTTGAGACTAGAAGACCTAGATGATGACCACCTACCACTACCAACTGCTCTGAAAGGGATCACATTAGAAAGTCCCAGATAGAGTGGGAGACAATGTGGAACATTGCATGAGACCACTGTTGTAAAATTAAGAAAAGATTTTTTGCTACATGTAATATTCTATGATGGTTGCAGGTGGGTGGAGGGTGGTGGGATGGAAAAGATAAAGTGACTGGAGATAAATTTGTCAACTAGTGGTAAATGGAGAGAATTGCAATCATTGTAATGGCACAAAGTGCATAATTTGTTGAATGTGGGTCCGAGGATCTGTTCTATAAACCTTTACTCAATTCACAATAAAAAGTTTTTTAAAAACTTTTTATTGTGAATTGAGTAAAGGTTTATTTTAAATGTTATTGTTGTTAAGTGCCGTCAAGTTGGTTCCGACCCATAGCAACCCTGAACAGGGTTTCCAAGGCGGTAAATCCTTACGGGAGCAGAAAGCCTCATCTTTCTCCCGAGGAGCAGCTGGTAGTTTTGAACTGCTGACCTTGCAGTTCACAGCCCGACTTGTCACCATTAAATATCAGATTTATTTTAAATAAATAAATCTTATTTTAGAAGTTTATCCTGAAGGAAAAATAAAGATTGAAATAAAGATTTTTCTGCAATGCAACTGAACTCATCTTTATTTAAAGAAAGAGAAAACATAGCATCAGGTTAACTATCTACCTACCCTGAGGGAGTAATTAAGTTATTAAGGAATACATTGTGGACATATATCTATTTATATGACAATATTTTATTATTTATAATTAAGAGAAAATAGTTTAGACAACTATATTTATACAACCTTAAATGTAATTGCAGCAGAGCATAATTATAGGGTTTTGGCACAGAGCACTGAAATTTGGAAAGGGAACACAATTAAAATAATGATTTTTAAAATATGGAGCAATTTTTCAATTGTTGCTATTAGACTATATGTAAATTTGTATATATTTTCCTTTAACTTAAATGGTGACTAAGAGAGGGCTTCAATATCTTCATGGAAAACATGTGAACATCAGTCTCCATGACCCTATGACCAGTAGAACTAGGTAGTGCCCAGCTCCCATTATCAACTGCTTTGAACAGGATCGCATGAGAAGGTCCTTGGTAGAGTGGCATAATGTGTGCAACAAAACTCAAAATTATTTTAAAAATAAAAGATGGGGCTTGCTGGTCAGAAAGAGACTGGAGGAAGCTAAGACTGTGCCCCCCAGCCACCCTTCAGGCTGGAAAGGAACACCCCCTCTTTCATGTAAGCAGTAGACAGGTATATAAAGGGAACAACTTTCAGTCAAGCAGTTGTTGTTAAGTATCCTGGAGTTGATTCCGACTCATAGTGACCCTATACAGGGTTTCTGAGGCTGTAAATCTTTACAGGAGCAGAAAGGCTCATCTTTCTACCACGGAATGGCTGGTAGTTTCGAACTACTGACCTTGAGGTTAGCAGCCCTATTGGTAACCACTACGCTACAGGTAGATAGGGGAAACAACAACACTAATAAGATAATGTTCACTATGAATGAAGGAACAGGCAGTCATTCAAAATCTAAGAGTCAACATGTACCTAAGGACAATAAGGAGCAGGGATGGGAAGGTGGGTGGAAGGAAAATAGGAGCCACAGGGAGGAAGCAGATGACGGTTGTTCCACAGAGGGGATTGCAATCATTGAGATGAAACAAAGTGTAGGATTTGTTGAATGTAAAACTGATGATATTGTGCGTAAACCTTCACTCAATTCACAATAAAAAGTAAAAAAAAAGAAAAAGTCCATGGAAGAATCCATTTTCTTTTAATCCCATTTTCCCATGAACTTTTTGAATCCTCCTCATATATATCAATGTTTTTACATTGTCCCCACAATGATCTTTTGATGGTTCCATGAATGGAGTCAGATCTGTTTCTGTCTGGTTGTTTGTTGTATCCCTAAGGTCCAGCATAACGCCTGACATAGAAACATGATCATTTGCTAAGTCATTCCAACTCATCGTGACCCCATGTGTATCACAGTATAACTATGCTCCATAATACTTTAAATGGTAGACTTTTCTTCCCAGGTGGTCTCAAACTTCGAATCTTTCATTATTGGTCAAGTGTAGTTAACCATCTGTACCACCCAGGAATTCCACTTGACTATCAGTAGGTGTTCAACAAAATATTTGTTGATTATGAGTATAACTAATGAACCTAATTTTCCATTCCTTTCTAGAAGATGGCCACCCAGGAGAAGGTCTCTGATGAGAAAATTTCCCAGTTTGATTATGCTTTGCTGTCAGAGCTCTCTGCTCTTCTGGGCATAGATGCAGTTGAATTCGCAAAGACAATAGAAGAGGAGGAACAGAGAGACCGAGCAAAAATGAAGAAAGGCTTTAACACACAAATGCGTAGTGAAGCAAAAAGGTTAATGTCTTTTGTGACCTATGAGTCATACAGCTCTTGGACCCCTCAGGAGATGGCGGCTGCTGGGTTTTATTTAACAGGGGTAAAATCTGGAATTCAGTGCTTCTGCTGTAGCTTAATCCTATTTGGTACCAGCCTCAGGAGACTCCCTATAGATGACCACAAGAAGTTCCATCCAGATTGTGAATTTCTTTTGGGCAAAGATGTTGGCAACATTCCCAAGTATGATATAAGAGTAAAGGATCTGGGGAACAACCTGAGAGGGAATCAAGGAGGGTATCAAGAAGAGGAGGCCAGACTTGAATCCTTCAAGAACTGGCCATTTTATGTCCAAGACATATCCCCAAGTGAACTTTCAGCAGCTGGCTTTGTCTTCACAGGTAACCTGAAATTATTTTCTAAAGTATTACTCTGGGGTTTTAAGTTCTGATTTCATATGTTGGTTTTGTAATGTTTTGTGAATCTTTCTTTACTTGTTAAATATGTTGTTTTAGATATGTTGTTCTTGTTGTTAAGTACCATAGACTCATAGCAATCCTGTATAGGGTTTCCAAGGGGCAGCTGGTAAGTTTGAACCACTGGCCTTGTGATTCAAGCCAGTCTTGTGGTTCAGCGCTTTATCCTAAAGTACCACATCAGGACTCCCATTTTGGTATGTTGCTGTTGTTAAGTACCACTGAGTCAATTCCAAATCATAGCTACCCTGTATAGGGTTCCCAAGGAGCAACTGGTGAGTTTGAACAACCAACCTTGCAGTTCAAACTGATCTTGCAGTCCAGTGCTTATCCTACAGTGCCATACCAGGACTTTTAGGTATAAGGTCTATTTGATTAAAATTTAACTATAGAAATTTTAATTTAGTCTTCTTTGGGTTTTGTTCAATGTCTTAATTTACCCTGGGGTTGGGATAATCTCATTTCCAGACAACTTCTGGTTGGTTGTGTGCAGTCAGTGGGGTTCTGATTCAGCAACACTGGATAGGGTGTTCAAGTCTGTAAATCTGTAGTGGAGCAGAAAGTCTCATCTTTCTCTCTTAGAGTAGCTGGTAGATTTGAACGCATAACCCACTACATTACCAGGGCTTCTTACACACAACTTCTAATTGTCCTTTAATGTTCTATAATGTGCCCTCACTTTGAAACAATTGAACTAATACCTATGCACAACAAAGTCTTCATCACAATCACCTTCACTTGCTGCATGTGCAGCTTTTATTGTAAACCATTGGGAAGGCTTCAAGGTTTTTTTGTTTTGTTTTGTTTTGTTTTGCTCTAACTCACTGCCATTGAGTTGATTCCAACTCCTAATGACCCTGTAGGGAAGAGTAGAAATAAATGCTCCATGAGGCTTCCAAGGCTGTCGATCTTCATGCAAACAGAAAACATTATCCTTTTCCTGTGGAGCAGTTGGTAGGTTTTAACTGTTGACATTGTGATTAGCAGTCCAATACTTAACCCACTAAACCACCAGTGCTCTTTTGCTTGCATTAAACCAAAACCAAACCTACTAACATCAATTCGACTCCAACTCATAGCAACCCTGTGTAGGGTTTCTGTGGCTATAAACCTTTATGGGAACAGAAAGTTTCATCATTTCCCGTTTGAACTGCTGACCTAGCAGCTGGTGGTCCACTGGTAATCATATAGCTCCACTAGGGTTCCTCCTTGTACTAACTAAAGTAAAGTAAAAAAGAGCCCAATGCATGTGTTCCAACTTATCTACAAATTCAACAAAAGGCTTACAGTTAAAGACCCACCACTCATCTCAGTTTGTTGTACTATGTATGGTGGCTTGCATGTTGCTGTGATGCTGGAAGTTATACCACCAGTATTTTAAATACCATGGTGGGCAAGTTACAGCTGAGCTTCCAGAATAAGACAGACTAGGAAGAAGGAGAGATGGACTACTTCTGAATGTTTAGTCACTGAAAACCTTATGATTAGCAGTGGAACACTGTCAGATAGTGCCAGAATATTGAATATTGATACATTATGAATAACACCAAAATACTGTCAGATATAGTGCCAGAAGATGAGATCTTCAGGTTAGAAGGTACTTAAAATAAGATTGGGAAAGAGCTGCCCCCTCAAAGTAGAGTTGACCATGATGATGTTAATGGAGTCAAGCCTTCAAGACTTTCATTTGATGATGAGACACAACTCGAAAGTAGAATAAACATCTGTAAACATCCATTAATAATCAGAACATGGAATGTATGAAGTATGAATCTAGGAAAATTAGAAATTGTCATAAATGAAATGGAATGCATAAACATCAATATCCTAGGCATCAGTGAACTGAAGTGGACTGCATTGACCATTATGAATCTGACAATCACATGGTTTACTATGCCGAGAATGACAAATTGAAGAGGAATGGCATTGTAGCCATCATCAAAAGAAACAGCTCAAGATCTGTCTTGAATGGACAACTTGGACATTGGCTACCCAAAATAGGGGGGCGGGGGGCTACAAAGGCAAGAAGTGACTGGCTTACAAACTTTCAAGAGGTAACCTAGATCCAGAGGGCCTGGAGGAAGATAGAATCTCCAGTGAGTAGTATTCAACCTGACTAGGCAGAGCTGATGCAATGAAATGCAGATGGGTTTCCTGTGATACAATAGTGAATAATTGTTATCAGGACTGATTGTGAGGGTTGGAAATGTAAAGGTGGATGTTTTATAGCAAGGAGGGGAGTAATTACCTTTTCAGTCTAGGAGCGTAGGTCCCTAGGACATCAAGGGAGAAGAGCAGAGAGTGGGACCCTACCCAGAGAAGCAGTGATGCCTGAAATGGAGCCAGAGATGATGAAGTGGAGCCATGGAGCAGCTGGAGACTTTAGATCCAGAGAGGAAGAGCGACTGTGTGCTGAAGACCTGAGGAGTATGGGGGAAGGATTGCATGGAGGGGATTGTAACCATGGCAATGAGATGATATACGATAGAATGAATGTAAAATTAATGTTCTCCCATGTAAACTATCACATAATCCACAATACAACATTTAAGAAAAAAAAAAAAGATCTGTCTTGAAGTATAATGCTGTCTGTGATAAGATAATATCCACATGCCTACAAGGAAAACCAGTTAATACCACTATTATTCAAATTTATGAACCAAAATCTAAAGCCAGTGATGGTGAAATTGAACAGTTCTACAAGCTTCTTCAATCTGAAATTGATCAAACATGCAATTAAGTTGTATTGAAAATTACTGGTGATTGGGATGCAAAGGTTGGAAACAAAGAAGAAGGATCAGTAGTTGGAAAATATGGTCTTGATAATAGAAATGATGCTAAAGATCACATGATAGAATTTTGCAAGATCAATGACTTGTTCATTGAAAATAACTTTTTAAAACAACATAAAACGTTTTTTGGACATTACCAAATGTAATAATACACAGACATCAAATTGACTTCATCTGTGGGAAGAAGGGGGAGGGCAATATACAAGAGGAGGGAGGTAGGCAAGAGAACGATGAAGATAGGTAAAGACACAGAGGTATGCAAGGAATAAAGGGGATAGAAGTAAATAGTGATTTTTTTTAAGCTTTTATTATGAATTGAGTAATAGTTTACATGGGAGAACATCGGCTTTACTCCATCGTTTCATATCAATGATTACAGTCTCCTCCGTGCATCATCATTCAGGAGTATTGGCTTCTATTCTCTCTGTTTTGTTTTGTTTTTTTAGGGGGTGGGGATGCACACAAAAACACTTAGGAATATATAATCATTTAAACAACCAATGGGCACATTCTGCAAGCCTGCCTCCTGGCTGCCAGCACACAGCCTTTCTTTGCCTTTCTCTTTCCATGAGTCTAGAGTCCTCAGCTGCTCTATCTCTCTATGTCATCATCTCTGCCTCCATCTCTGGTGTTGGGTAAATGGTGATTTGTACACAATCTTGGAACAACAGTGTTCTCTGTGAAGGTACATGGGCAGAGACACAGGCTGAATGGGTATAGGAGGAAGAGTGGAATATATAGATATATAGTTATATATCCCACAAATATGTAAGAGTTTGAAAGAAGATATTTGTACATGGGTAACCACAAAGAGGACGCAATACAACTGTTGTAGCATGGAGGAGATTGCAATAATTGAGATGAAACAAAACATATAATTTGTTGAATGTAAAACTGATGATCTTGTCTATAAACCTTCACTCAATTCACAATTTAAAAAAAGAAAAGAAGAAGAAAGAAAAGTTCCATATCATTAGCCAAAATAAAGCCAGGGGCACACTGTAGAACAGACCATCAACTGCTCACGTGCAAGTCCATGCAGAAACTGAAGAAAACTAAAACATGTCCACAAATGCCAAAATGTGATCTTGAACATACCACAACTGAATTTAGAGATCATCTCATGAACAGATGTGATACATTAGACACAAATCATTAATGATCAAAGTCCAGAAGAGTTATGGGATGACATCAAAAGCATCATACAGATTTGACTTTGCTTTATAGCTGTAGTAGCACAAAATACCAACTGAGAGGAAAGGAGTCTTCAAATCAAGGATCAAGCATATCCTCTCAGTACAAAGGGTTGATAGGGATGGGCAACTCAGACATTGGCTACCCAAAATGGGATGGGGGTGGGCTATAAAGGCACAAGCTTTCATGAGGGAATTTAGTTTCAGAGCAAGTGAGGGAAGGTAGAATTCCCACTGAATAGTTTCCATCTTGTCTAGGTGGGTCAGATGAAAAGAGACGGGGACAGGATTCCTTTGATTTAATAGTGAGTAACTGCTATCATAGGAGTCCTGGTGTGGCGCTGTGGGTTAATACATCAGACTGCAAAGCCATTTGAATTGCAAAGTCAGCAGTTCAAGCTCACCAGTAGCTCCTTGGAAACCCTATACAGGGCCTCTATGGGTTGGAACTGACTCAATGGCACTTAACAACAACAATTGTGATCATGACTAATTGTGATTGTAACACTTGTAAAGGTAGAAGATATGTTATAAAAAGGGGAGAGTAGTTAATCTTACATTCCAGGAACAGAGGACCCTAGGACCAGCAAGAGAGAAGAGCATGAGCAGAACGTGGGCTCCTAACCAGAGAAGCAGTGACTCCAGATATGGAAGCAGAAGGGGGGTATGGAGAGATAGAGCATCTGAGGACTCTAGACTCTTGAAAGGAGAAAGGCTGTTGGCTGATGGGCAGAGGGCTGCTTTACAAAATATGTCCTTTGGTTATTTAAACAATTATATGTTTCTGCGTGTTTTTGTGTATATCAAAAAAGGGAATTGTTATAATTAAAATGAAACAAGATGCGATAGGTTGAGTACAAAACTGATGTTCTGCCATGTAGACTATCATTCAGTTCACAATAAAAGCTTTAAAAACAAAACAAAACACATCATACAAGAAGACAGCAAAAGGTCATTAAGAAAGAAGAAAAGACCAAATGGATGTCAGAAGAGATTCTGAAACTTGTTCTCCAGCATAGAGATGCTAAAGCAAGTAGAAGACATGAAGAGGTAAAAGAGCTGAAAATATATTTCACAGATCAGCTGGAGAAGACAAAGTCAAGTTTATAATGAAATGTACAAAGACCTGGAGTTAGAAAACCAAAAACTGAGAACAACTTAACCATTTCTCAAACTGAGAGAAGGGAGAGAGAAAAAAAAATCAAGTCTAGATTTGCAATACTGAAAAATTCTATGGGAAAAATATTGAATGATGTAGAAAGCATCAAAAGAAGATGGAAGGGAAAAGTGATATGCAAAAGATTGAAACAAGACCTTCACTTCACACCTTGTACAAAAACCAACTCAACTGATGAATGTAAAACTAATGTTCTCTCATGTAAACTATCACATAATTCACAATAAAACATTTTTTTAAAACAGGAAGATGGAACGAATACACAGTCTATGTACCAAAAAGCAATGGACAATGTTCAACCATTTCAAGAGGTAACATATGATCAAGAGTCAAGGGTAGCTCCTTTCGTGCTCTCATGTTCATGACAGGCGGCAGTTTCTAAGTGGGACATAGATAACCAATGCCCGCACAGGTAAACTCACCCCTGCATCCTACTTTCCGCTCCCCTCCAGTGCCCAGCTCACCAGCATGTCCATGGTGCTGCTTAATTGCTCCCAAACTGGTTGGCGCTAAATACATCCAGTAGTAGAAGCCCCTCACCCTGGAGCACACCATCAACCTGTATCCTCTGACCAATTATACTTTTGGTACAAAAGAGCCCCTGTGTGAGAAGGACAGTTCTGTTGGAGCCAGATTTCAATGAATGAGGAGAGAATTTTATAAAATTGGAATGAGAAGAAGGGGTTCTGATTGTACATGAACACCAGCTACCCCATGCTATTGTTACAGCTGGGAACAACTTTCTTCCAGTTACTTGGTGGTGAACTTAATCCAGAAGATAAAGTTGAAGGACTAAAACACTTAATGACAGAGATCATCAAGGTGGAGCCCTTCAAGATTAGGTCATTGATGACTGCATTGGTAACTGCAAATTTTGAACCTTCTCAGTATCCATATATTCCTGCACATAATACAGAATCTAAGGAGCTCTGGTAGCATAGTGGTTATAAATCGGGCTGTGAACCACAAGGTCAGCAGTTCCAAACTACCACCTGCTCCACAGGAGAAAGATGAGGCTTTCTGTTCCTGTAAAGATTTACAGCCTCAGAAACCCTGGGGTCGGTATGAGTCAGAACTGACTCCACGGTACATAATAACCACCACCAGCAAGGAACTAAGAAGTTGTTTCTGGTTCAACTTCAAGAGAAAGCCTTGTTTGCAGTACACCAAAATTACAAACTGGTAGCTGTACCATTATTTGAATTGTATGAAAATGTACCAGGATACTTGATCCATCATTTCTACTGTGGGTTAATGCAATGGACTGCAAAGTCTGTTGGAATCACAAGGTTGGCTGTTCAAGTTCACCAGCTGCTCCTCAGCAATCCTATACAGAGTCTCTATGGGTCGGAACCGACTCAACAGCACAAACAAATCCCTAAATTGCTCCCTGCTTTCTATTATTTGAATAGTAAAGTTAATAGGAATAACTAAATAGTGGTATAAACAAATGTGATAATATTTAATTCACTTTTGGTTCTACCCATACATTTTGTACAACATTAAACAAGTGGAGTCCTTGGAAAAAAAAAAAAAAAAGTCAATGGTACTGAACAAAGTAATTCAATGTGCACTCAAAGCACTGGCAAAGAAGAGGACTCCAGGAATTGACAGAATACATTGAGTTGACTGCGAATCATAGTGGTGCTTTATAAGGTTTTTGAGGTTGTAAATCTTTACTTTTACAGAAAGTCTCAGCTCTCTCCCATGGAGCTGCTGGTAAGTTTGAACTGCCAACATTGTGGTTAGCAGCCTAATGCTAATCCTACGGCACCAAAAAGGGTACTTTATTAAGGCCCCCCAAATAAGTCATGAGGTCATTCTGATCCCAGTCTCCTTCTCTCTTAACTTCCTTCTGCTGCTTCTGCATGATCTTTGATTCTTTTCATTGCTATTCTGTATTGGATGGATTTGTAGTTTGTTTTTCAAATCTTAGGCAAATTGCATTTCAGAAAACCGCACTTCATTTAAATTGTCCTAACCACACCGTGGATGTTATGACACATGTAGATAAAAATTGTAATAACAGCAATGACCATTTACTGAGATCCTACTTTATGAAAAACAGAGAGGATAGAGCACTAGCCGGAATCCAGCAAATTACCCTATTGTCCCTATTTCACAGTTGCAAAATCATTGTGAATCACAGAGTTCAAGAAACTTACCTAAACATTCCTGCAGAAATTTCATGGCAAAGTTGATATGTGATCTTCTAGTTGTGCTTTACTCCTGGAGTTTATTATTTTCTCATCATAGAACAAAAATACCAGTTCTACCAAGCAATTGAGGTAGGCGTATTGAGTTAAATAGCTGAGGGCTTCATGTTTGAATTATGGCTATGGTGAAGGGATGGAGAACCAGAGTTTAGAATGTGGTTATTTAGGGCCGTAGGTCTGTGGATGGAAATGCAGTCAGACAAGGATTTGAGTGGACAGACTGCTGGAGCATTCTCATTTACAGACAGAACTATGGGTTTCTGGGAACCAACCCTCTGGACTATCCCATAATGCCATTGCTCAGCAATCTAAACATTTTCCTTCATTGTAGGTACACAGGACACTGTGCAGTGTTTTTCCTGTGGTGGATGTTTAGGAAATTGGGAAGAAGGAGATGATCCTTGGAAAGAGCATGCCAAGTGGTTTCCCAAGTAAGTGGATAAATATTTCTTTAGCTTAAAGTGTTTAGTTTCTTTAAAAAGACAAAATTAACCAGTCTCACCTTCCTGGAGTAGAACCTAGAGTTTTGATATTGCCCTATCAAAATTAGACCACCCCAGACTGATGAAAGGAAATGCGGATAGGTCTCTTGTGATACAAGGGTGAATAATTGTTACCAGGACTGATTGTGAAGGTTGTAAATGTAAAAGTAGACATTTTGTGGCAAGGAGGGGAGTGATTAACTTTGCAGGCTAGGAGTGGAGGTCCCTGGAACCATGAAGGGAGAAGAGCAGAGAGCAGGACCCTACCCAGAGAGACAGCGATCCCCGATATGGAGGCAGAGATGATGACTTGGAGAGATGGAGCAGCGGGGGACTCTGGACCCAGGAATGGAGAGGGGCTGTGTGCTGACGACCAACCGGGAGGGGGGAGTCGGAGGGGTGGTGGGAGCAGGTTTGTAGAATGTACCCTTTCGTTGACTGGTAATTCGTGGAGGAGATTGTAACCATGGCAATGAAACAATATACAATAGGATGAATGTAAAACTAATGTTCTCCCATGTAAACTATCACATAATTCACACTAAAACTTTATATAAAAAAAAAAAAATTAGACCACCCCAGAATTTATTCAAACGTGAATGATCTGAGTACTATTGTGAGAAGTTTGAATTAATATATAATTTTAATAGCTTGGAAACATATACAAAGGTGTGTCAAAATTTATCCTCACTAATATCCACATCCTTAAAGGAGCTCTGGTAGCGTAGTGGTTACGACTTGGGCTGTGAACCGCAAGGTCAGCAGTTCGAAACTACCAGGTGCTCCGCGGGAGAAAGATGAGGCTTTCTACTCCCGTAAAGATTTAC